GGTTTGAAGATTCTTCAAAATTAGGTTTTTTTTATTCGATTTAGGGATTTTTTTGTTCGATTTGCTTGGAATTTTTTGTTAAAAATCTGTTGTTTGATTTGAAATCTCTCAATAATTTCGATTTTTCAGTTTTAATAAACATATTTTTGTAAGATATTTTGCCCCCAATTTTAAAAGAATTCATCCGCACAAAATCAGATCCATATAAATCGGAGCAACAAAATCCAGCCACAAACAAATATGATTAATCTTATCTGATTGCTAAAATTCAGCCCCATTTTAATCGGAGCACTAAAATACAGCCAAAAACAAATTTGAAGACATGGCCGACAAAAATACAATTTCAAACAATTTACAAAATATGTAAGCGGGGAAAACATGATTTCTAAGCATTTCTAAGCGGGAAAACGAAATGTTTTTTTTTTCGGATTGTTCAAATATTTTTTCTTCTCTGTATTATATATTAATAGATACCAAAATAAGTATTAGTTTACTCTACTCCAAGTAGAGAATGTCAAAATTTATCTTTTGTCTTCGCATTATATTTTATTCTACATGAAATATAATAGTACAAAATAAAATTTAAAATTATTTAACAAAATAAACAATTTTATTGATGTATGTTTTACCAAAATAATATTTTAAATAAAAATCGATTAAAAATTTAAAATTTGAAGAAAAAAATTGTAGCATGTCGAATGATACCGTGTTACATGGAGCAAGTTTTTTCGTACTACTCTGAAGTAGACTATAGCATTGTGGCGCAGGGCTGGAGATGCCCTTGTGACATGATTGGGTACAAATGAATGACATGGGAATGATAATCATTCCCTTACTCATTCTTTATATCATGATTGGTATATTTTTTTTCCATGAAGTAGAGTATAGCATTGTGGGGCTGGACTGGAGAAGCCCTTCTGACATAATAGGTACGAATGAGTGACATGAGAATTGAATAATCATTTCCTTACTCATTCCTTATACCCTGATTGGTATATTTATTTTAAGGAATGACCATTCCAATAGCATTGCAAAATTCATCTCCTTAGAATTAGCCATTTCATAGCTAATGCAAGGTTTTTTCATTCTCATATTTGTAGGAATCAAGTTTTCAAAAGATAAAATTAAAAAATAATAATAAAAAATAAATATATT